GAAGAAACATAAAAAAAATGCTTATGCTTCTATAGAGGAAAAAAAATAGTTATTTAATAGAACTTATCATCAATTTTGGTTGTATATAAAGGTTTTTTCCCCAAATCTTTAACAAATAATCAAGGGAGGTACTCTGCTGGGTTTTGGAGTTTCTGCTTGGAGATAATCAGAAAAAGCCTGGAAAAATATTTTCACAAAGTATTTCATATATTTACTTGCCTAATGGTAGGCGGCTTGAACAGAAAATTTCTCAAGACTCTTACAGATCTATTATCTTATAATTCTATAATTTTGTGGTAATTCAAACCACTTCATACTGTCAATATTCTCCATTTGTGTGAACAGGCATCAACTCCTGTATGGTATTTCATTTATAAGATGAGAGCTTGAAAAGCACCTTCAGATAGCAATTTGTACATGATCTGATATATTTTCATGGTTTTCTAAGCTTTATGAAAGATTTAAAAGAACTGTACCCAAGGTTGCATTACTTATACGGGGAAGGTATTAAAAAGAATGGCATATAAGAAATTAAAACAGAAAAGCAATAGAATGCTAGTAAAAGCTTCTATTGTTTATGGTATTTTCAGATCAAACACAAGTCCAGACTTTGAGGATGGTGGAAGAAGATGACGGATCTCTTCCAGTAACCACTAAGAAAATTTCTTTTCTACAGTAATGAGTAAGATTGTATGATATAGCCAGAAACTTTGCTTTATTTCATTTAGGAGCATACTGAAATTTGAGAAAGTATAAATATCTATTGGTTGGTTTATAATGGCTTAGACTTTTCTCATAAAAAATAAACTGAGAAACAAATACAAAAGAACACCTGTTAACATTTCCTGATGTGTGTCTATTTCCCTATCTGTAAAGGAGGGAATAATAACAGAACCTACTCCCTATGGTGGTTGAGAGAATTAAGTGAGTTAATCCATTTGAAGCCTCATAATAAGCTCTTGTTTGTTAACTATTTCTGCTTAAATTAGAAGTTTGTCAGGTACTGTATGGATAAATTACTGCTGTGAAGCTTCAGTTAAGTATTATCAGAAATAATTTTGAGCATCAGATAAACAGTGAGACATGTCACATTATTACTTGTAGGCTCCTCTATAACTATTATGTTAACTATGTTAACTATTGTTATTACAATGAAGACTTCAACCAATCACTATCTAATATATTACCAAATTAACCAAGGCTCTTCCTACATAAAAACATAGTGATTAATATGTAAAGCAAACCAAAATGTGTGTGGTTAGAAGGCTCTCATTACATTTAGTTGATTATTGCAAAATCTTAGAAATTCTTTTATTCATATTTTATAAGTTCTAATTATGTCACCTAATTACCTAATAAAAAATTAATATTATGTGTGAAAATAATGTTGTTGTTCATATGGAAGTTTTGTTGAATATCTTTGAAATCTTTAAAGGGAAACAGATGAGTCCCTAAAGTATCACCACTATATTAACCATGGCAATACATGTGAATATATGTGTGAAGTGCCCTTCAGGAGTTACATGGGTCTGGACAGTTAAAGGGCAGAGAAAAGATTTAATGCTCGCATTGACCAGCATTGAAAAGACTAAGAACAACAAATGCTGGTGAGGATGCGTAGAAAGGGAAACCCTCCTACACTGCTGGGTGGGAATGTAAATTAGTTCAACTAATTGTGGAAAGCAATGTGGAAGTACCTCAAAAAACTCAAAATAGAAATACCATTTGACTCAGGAATCCCACTCCTAGGAATTTACCCAAAGAATGCAAGTTCTCAGATTCAAAAAGATATATGCACCCCTATGTTTATCATAGCACTATTTACAATAGCCAAGATATGGAAGCAACCTAAGTGTCCATCAGTAGATGAATGGATAAAGAAGATGTGGTACATATACACAATGGAATACTATTCAGCCATAAGAAAGAAACAAATCCTACCATTTGCAACAACATGGATGAAGCTGGAGGATATTATGCTCAGTGATATAAGTCAGGCAGAGAAAGACAAGTACCAAATGATTTCCCTCATTTGTGAAGTATAACAATGAAGCAAAACTGAAGAAACAAAATAACAGCAGACTCACAAACTCCAAGAAGGGACTAGCAGTTACCAAAGGAGAGGGGTGTGGGTGGGCAGGTGGGGAAGGAGGAAGAAGATATTGAGGGGTATTTAGATTAGTACACATGGTGTGGAGGGGATCATGGGGAAGACAGTGTAGCACAGAGAAGACAAGGAGTGACTCTGTGGCATCTTAGTACACTGATGGACAATGACTACAATGGGATATGGTGGGGGGACTCGATAATATGGGTGAATGTAGTAACCACATTGTTGTTTCATGAGAAACCTTCATAAGAGTGTATATCAATAATACCTTAACAAAAAAGTGGTTAAAAAAAGATTTAATGTTCATTAAATCATTAGAAGAGATGAGGATACAGGAAATAACCAGACTCCCATAAAGTCTTGCAAAGTGATTAAAATACATGAAAGTAACTTGGTAGAAATAGTACATTCCTCTTGATTCCTCTCTACCTGTAACTAACCAAGTCCTTTCAGTTTTTTTTCTCTTGAATATCTCTGAATCTCTATTCATTTATCTAACTGCACAAGTATTGATTGCTTAGTTCAAGCCCTCATTGAATCTCACTTGGGCTATTGCTATCGTGTTCTTTGTGTTCTTGCTTCTAGTTTCTCCACTGGTGTGATCTTCTTAAAATATAAATATTAAGGCATCATTTCCCTTATTAAAGCTATTCATGCTTGTCTTGTATACCTCACAGGACAAAATCCAAGCCTCCGGTATGACACATACGTTTAATCACAATGTAGATTTTACTAAGAACCTGCTAAATAACTTGTGAGCCCATTGAAAAATGAAAACATGGGGCCTCTTGTTCATAAATTACTAAAAATTTCAAGATGGTAACAAAGGTATTAAAACCTAGCAGGGATTTTCTAAGCATGAAGGCCTTTGCAATTGCATGGTTAGCACACACAGAAACTGGTCTTTATCTCACCTACCACTTATCACACCATCCTCTGACATTTTTTCACAAGTACCCTCACGTTTAAGAACTCATCAGTAACTATAGGTTCTGAGATACATACTGTGTTTTGCCCTTCCAGGCTGCTGCAGTGCCATTCATCCCCTCTTCCTTAGATGTGCTTGGAAAAAAATGCTTATTTTCTCTTAAGGACTCAATTCTTATTTCTTAAAATATAAAATGTTCTTTGAAAAATTGAATAGTTTGATCACTGCTTTCTGGATGACACCATCATACTCACCATATATTTATGGTTGAATTTATCATATAATTACATATTTTACTTGTATGTTTTTTTGCTAAGCTCAGACTAGTCCTGAGAGGTGGGTCCATATTTTAATTATATTTTAATTTTCCATGCTTGGTTCAGTGTCTGGCATGTATTAAATACTCCATGAATGTTTTTTTTAAATGAGTCATGTTATAACAATTCTAAATATTTTGAAGTTGTGAGTCACTAATACTTGTTTGCACTGCTTATGAAAGTTTTAAGTGTCATAACTTATTATAATTTAGGTCAAATTAAAAAAGTTTGAGTTGTAAATTTCAGGAGAATCTGAAACCTTTTGGTATTTGAAGACACTTAAAATAATCAAAACGGTGTTTTAAAATGTTCAATTATATACATCAGGCATTGTGTGAAACTCACGTTCAAAACCCTCTCTGAATCTATCCACTCCCTGCCTCTATCTAAGGATGAGGAACCATCTGAGATTTTTATCATTCCACTGATGTTTGAACAGACTGCTTAATTGCTATCATTATTTCTTCTTAAATTAGAAGCTTTTCAGATACTATGTGGATAAATTATTACTGTGAAGCATAAATCAAGTATTATAAGAAATAGCAAGTTTGAATATCAATTGACTAAGCAGTGAGAGATGTCACATGATTACTTGTGGGCTTCTCTGTAGGACACAGGAAGTAGAAGGACTCATGGCATCAAAGAAAATGGATCAAAATGGTGATGATAATGATCGAAGAGATACATAGCTACAACTTCTTTAAGAAGTTACTTTAGCATTGTGAAGTTTGTCTTTAGAAATGTTTTTTATAACTCTATTACACAGAAATTCTATTCGCTTAACTATGGTTTGAATGTTTATGTTCCACTCTTCCCACCAAATTCCTATGTCCAAATCCTAATGTGATAGTTTTGGAGATAGGGATTTTGAAAGGTGCTTAAGTCATGAGAGTGGAGCCCTCATGAATGGAACTAGTGGTCGTATGAAAGAGATCCCACAGAGCTTCCTAGCCCTTTTGACCATGTAAATACATAGGGAGAACGTACAGGCTGTGGACCAGGAAAAGGGTTCTCACCAGAAAGTGAACATACTGGCATCTTGATCTTGGACTTTTCAGTCTCAAGAACTGTGAGGAATAAATTTCTGTTGTTTATAGGCTGCCTAGTCTGTATTGTTTTGTTATAACGATCATCTTATATATGCATATATTAAGCTATCTTACATAAAATATAGAATGCATGGAAAAGAATAAACTGCTTTGCAAGCAAGTTTAAGATGGTAAAAAGACTGTATTATTTATAAATTTCCAATGGCAAAAATAAGCTTCCTAATCTTGTTTCAGCTTTACATTTAATTTAATAAGAAAAAGCATGGTATTAATTTAAATATTCTAATTGGGATTTAGATATCAGAAATCTTATTTAAAATTTTTGGTCCTCTGAAAATTGTTATGCAAGATATTTTTATCTCCTTTTATGATTGGGCAATCCTAATAAAGGGAATCCCCCCAAAAAAGAGTAGAAAAGAGATTCAGTTGTCCAAAGAAGTAAATATGTTAGTAGGAATTTATTTATCTGAACAAATTAGTAAGAAGCTGGTCTGTAGGAAGAAATAGAGGTGTAAGGTAATTTGTAGACGATTACAGTGATTTCAAATTTTAAACTTAAAAATATTAATAATCCAGCTTCTTATGAGTTGGTATCTTTAATAACTGAGTAATGTATCCTTGAGATTCCTAGGAATGCTTGTCCAGTAATGGTTCCACTTTCCAAAGTCTGGAGTAATTCCATTATAATACAAGGAGTTTTTCATTGTCTTATCCTAGAAAGAAAGGATTATTAAAGAGAATTAATCCTATCATCTCTAAATTTTAAAACTTATAGCAACATGAATTCCATATAAAAACAAATAGAAAAATTACAACAAAAGAATCCCTCTTAAGACCTTAAAGGATAAAATTTTCACCTAAGCAAAATCTATAGAAAACATAATTTGTCCATTAAATAAATTAAATTATCCATTAAATAAAATTATCCATTAAATAAAACTCTGGACATTCATATCTATAAGTTATTTCTCAATGGAACTATTTTTTTTTAAGTTTTAAAAATAAAAATATTAGGGTAAATTATAATTTTGATTTATAAAACATGTTCTTTTTATGAGATTTTAAACTATATATGGCATTTAGCTATCCTCCTATTACTGATATTAACCAGATAGCAAGGAATTATTTGCCCTATTTTTATTATTTGCCAAGATCATTGGCAACTCTTCCATCAAGTGGAGTAGCTTGTATTATCATTTAAACGTATGGTCCCTCTGTCGAACCTCCCCATAAGGGAACTCTGTATGGTGCCCCTTCTTTGAAGAGGCTTAAACTTCTCTGTCCCATTGATTCCGGGATGGCTCTGTAACTTGCTTTGGTTAATACAATGAGAGAAGCTGTGAGGTGTGCCATTTCCAAGAAGCAGCTTTGGGAACCACTGAGTGTTTCCTAAACTGACTTTCTGTTCTCCATAAGAGAACAACATTCTGATTCCCAGCCTAATGCAGACATGCAGCCAATCCATGCTAGGCAAGTGGGTAAGAAATGACCCTTTATTTCTGAAAGTTTTCTGAAAGTCACTGAGGGTTTGGGGGTCATTAGTTTCAGGGCAAAATTTACCCTAATCTGGAGAATGGCATTAATATTTTAAAAACATTTCCTAATCTACATTTGGTTTTGTTTATATTGACTTTAGTTAAGAAAACAGAGAATGAAATAAAAGCCATAAGGAGTAAGTGATTTATAAATCAGTAAAGGGAATGAGTTTCGTTGATTGCCTATTATGTCTCTTTAACCTTCACAATAACCCTGAAAGATGGGAAGTATGTGGTTTTTAGATGAGGACACTAAAGCAGTTTCTAATAAAAAATTTTGGTTGACTCCCAGGGTTGACGTGAATAATTACATAATATGCTACTGAAATTTAATTCTTGGAACACAAACATTTTACAACTATTAAGACAAAGAAAATGTTCATAAATATTATGAAGTCAATAATATTCAAGCTAGCATGAATTTGATTTGAAAGATACTACAGTTAAGCTGAAACTCTATCAGACCTCAGGAAATGTACCTATTGTAACAGCATAATTTTTGTTTGTTCTTGTTTTTAGTTTAGCATAAACAAGAACATATTGTGTGGAGCATATTAATTTAATTCTATACCACATTTGAAGGACTGAAAAACTTTTTCCCACACTTAACAGCCTGCTGTTAGGTTATTTTCCATTCAATTGGTACAAAGGAAAAAATTACATATTAAATTTGTTAAATTTTTTCTATAAAACTTGGATAATTAAAGCAGTACAAATTAAAAACAGAGAGAATGAATCTCAGGACAATAAAGAGATACTTATAAGTGGTAATTCAAATAATTCAGGAGACATTTACATTAGTTTTCTATTAATGCAATTAACAAGCAACACTAATATACAGATTTATAATAAAAATAAGAGACATGTGATATCATATAGACAGGAGTTGTTGCACTGAGATTGCACATATGGATCAAAAGGAACCAGTTTCCCATAGGTTGAGAAATCCCAAATTAAGGTTTGGAGATGTGGAGTAACCTGTGAGTCTTAAAGTTCAAAAGTGGTAAGGCAGATATTTGAATCCAATTCAGTGTTCTCTTTATGTTGCTGCAAAATAAAAGCTCTAAATATAGCATAATCCTATTTTGGTAAATTCCTCAAAAAACTCATAAAACTTATGACTTGGTAATAATAACTGAAAAGGAAAAGGGAAAAAAGTGTTGACAAAAGAGACAGTAAATTGTCAGATGTATATAAGTGTGGAGAATATAAATCATGGATTCTTTGTTGTCAGAAGCAGATGCCAACAGAAATAACATTTTGTTGGAATTACTGTCAAACTGCTGTTGTTTGCTTATTTACCTTTTATTTATATTGCCATATTTGCAAAAATGATTGGTGATAACTTCCAATAAAACATGCAATACAAGTAAGGAAGACCAATAAAACCAGGTAAAAGAGCAATTTATTAGATAGAAGGGAAGAAAAATACAGATGGTCCCTAACTTAATGATGGTTCGTACAATTTTTTGACTTTACAAAGGTGCAAGATTGATGCACATTTGGTAGAAACCATACTTCGAATTCTGAATTTTGATTTTTTTCCCAAGCTAGCAATATATACCTCATGGTCCTGGGTAGGGGAAGTAAGCTACAGTTTCCTGTCAGTCACACAATCACGAGGGTAAACAACCAATAGCTTACAACCATTCTGTACCCGTACAATCATTTTTTTTTCATTTTCAGTACAGTATTCAATAAATTACATGATAGTCAACACTTGATTATAAAATAGGTTTTGTGTTAGATGATTTTTTACAGCCATGAACTAATACAAGTGTTCTAAGCACTTTGAAGGTAGGCGAGGCTAAGCTATAATGTTTGGTAGGTTAGGTGTATTAAAGGTATTTCAACAAGATATTTTCAACTTAGGATGTGTTTTCTGGGGTATACTCCATTGTAAGTCAAGGAAGATCTGTACTAATAAAGTAAGAATACTTGTTTAATAGCACCAAATATAATTATGACTTTAGAGAGAGCTGAGTTAAAATGGTATTTTATATATCTAATGGCTCCCATTTCCAAATAAAACAAATCTATTTTTCAAAATACTGTTACACACTGTTGATAATAAGATATAGATAAATGCAACAAGTTTTTTTTAAGGGAAAAGTAAACTCATTCAATGGTCCTAAAATTTACTATAGAACATAAAAAAGTAACAATCTTCTCATTTTTTTACATTAAATTAGAAAAATTACTCTCTGACTTGTGGGAAACAGGATTTAATCACTCTTAGATATCATTTACATTCAATTTAGAATAGTGTAAATGTCATGGTTCTAGTGCAATTTAAGCTTTTGAGGAAGAACATCTGGTGTCTCTGCACAGTCACTAATGGCGCATTTTGCTTTGAGCCCACCTATCCCTTAACCTTGGGTGACTGACACTTGTAAGACACCATTTGCCATAGCCCACCCTCTCCAGGTGCACCACAGAGTTGCTCTCTCTGAAGTGTGCGACCTCAGAACACTGTGGGGAAACTGACACAGGTACTCTTTCTTGGGGAGCACGTACAATTCTGATTTCTTTGGAAACTTCCAAAAACCTCAAAAAACCCTCTGTTCTTTCAGTATCAACCAACCACATGGAAATTATTCTCTATATCTTCTCCTTCTCTGGATTGATGGTAAATATTTTCCCATTAGAGCACTATTATAAACACAATGGAGTGAAAATTGGAAAATTGGACATTAGCCACAGTCCATTCTTTGTGTTCCTACTAATTTACTTTGTTAGATAAACATTTTTTAAAGGCTTAAGAATATTCAAAGTTAGGCTTTGTTGATTTATTGTTGTTATGTTAGACTTGGTAATATAGGGTATTACTACTCATTTAATTTAGGCCATTAAGTGTAATTATTAAAGATAGATAAAATGGAAAAATAAAAAAATTTCTTTCTCCAAAATTAGGGAATTAGAATATCATCTAAAATGTATGCATTTGTCTTATGCCTCTTTTCTCTCTCTTGCTTTCTCTCTAACATAGTAAAATAAACAAACATTTACTGTTTCTACCTTCTATAAGTGTACAGTCCGATGTCATTAAGTACATTCACATTGTTGTGTAACACCACCACTATCCATCTCCAAAACATTTTCATCCATCCCAAATTGAAACTCTGTACCCAATAAACAGTAACTCCCAGTTCCACTCACCCCCGAGCCCCAGGTGACCACTATCCTACCTTCTGTCTCTATGGATGTGAAATAGAACTTGACTATTCCAGATATTTCATATGTATTTGTCTTTTTGTGTCTAGCTTATTTCACTTAGCATAATACCTTCAGTATTATCCATATTATTGCATGTATCAGAACCTCATTTTCTCTTAAGGTGTTTTTCTTTATCTGGATAAGTGACCGTGTTTGGCAACAAAGCTAAGAAAGGAATTGGGATTAATGAATTTAGTGGTCAGCAAATTAAAGCATTTATTTTTGTCATGTAAGAGAGAGACAGAGACAGAGATGAGGGGAGAAGAGAGAGAATGGGGCAGGGTAGAGAAAGAGAAAGAGAAATTCTGGAGCAAAAAAGGAAAATGCAGAAGCTGATATTATAGCACTTGTATCTTTTCCATTGCACTGGAAAATTAATTTGAACACTTTACAGCACTTCTTATTTGTAGTTCACAGTGGACACAGCTTTTCAAATTTATTGCATAGTTAGCAAATGGACAAAACCTTTTGACAGCCTCCCAGTCCATCCTCTGCTTCCCAAATCTCATGAAAACCAGCAGGTCTCTCTATTAAAAACTAGTCCTGAAAATCACGTAAGAAAATGTATTGTTATGAAACAATGCTACAAGCAGTGAAGCCAAAGACCGCCAAGTTAAACAAAAAGGGTAAAATCTGTCTGCATATTCTCACACCCTTAAACATGTTTTCCAGTGTGAACTGCCTGTGAGTTTATGATGACAGAACTTGGTCCACCAGACAATCACTCTCAGAAGGACTCAGCTCTCTCCAGAAACTGTATTTATATTTCCCAGATGATTATGTCTTTTATTAAAAGCAGCAATTGAGAAATGGTCAAACTCAGCATCAGAGAAGTAGTCCAGCTATAATGACTAATTTTACCTACAGATAAATATGGGAAAGGTCAGGAGAGCAAGTCAGTTGTTAGGTTTGGATTCTCAAGAATACCATTAAATTCATATAACCAAAGATAGGAAAAATCA